TTCACCATCGTTTGGTTGTTGTTGATTTAACAGTATAAAATATTCCGCAAATACTATAAGTAGTTTTCGGGAACCCTGATTAGTTGAAAGTTTTCTGTCGGATATAAGTACATAACGCATGGTATAAGTACAGGTCTGTTTCAGTTGCGCATGAAGACCCGGTTGTCATGTCAATAATATTTTTGTGGAAGTTGTAGCTGCGGGAAATATTTCCCCAATTACTTTGACGAATATTGCCCAGCTGACTGTCATTGGCTGGGTAAAAATTAGCGTCTTTTCGGGTTTTATAGAACCGACTTTCATGGAAACAGGAGTTATATTGCAACTTCTAGAAATTAAGTTTATAGGTCCTGAAGTTTTTTATGTGGTTGAGGTCAGCAGAGTGATCACACTGAGGCATACGGGGTTATATGCAGTTAGAAGGCCGAAAAAAGCAAATTTTCCAACATTTTTCTGAGAAAATTTTTTTATTTATTAATCCAAAAATTTGTACATTATGGTGTCTTTTAACTGTATTCCAAGACTTAGTATTAGTAAAAATGTTTATTTGGAAATGTACCACATCTGAACCCTGGGAGTTCCTCTCAAAAAAGGCATTTTGCGTTGATCAATATATCTCTGAACTGCATCCTCTGAATTTAAAAAACCAAACAGATTTCGTTAAAGTAACGTTAAATCTAGTAATTAATCGAAGTAATAAGCAGACATTTTTTTACAAAATAGCGGTTTCTGAGAAAAAATCGATTTTGAAAAATATTGGTTTTAAATTAATTATAAATAAATATTTATCGGTGAGAAAAAATCTTCCATTAATTACTAAAAAATATTTTTAAGAAGTTCGTGTTAAAATTTGATACTAATTGGTTTAAACGTTTTCGAGTAATGTTGGTCACCGGCTTTAAAAGCATCATTTCGAGAAAAACGCGTTTAAAGTTTGGATTAAGCATTCTGAATCGCTTCCTTAAATTTTCGTGAAGCTTCGGAAATATTACTACCGGAATGATATGAAATTTTCTGTGTGTATTCTTAAATATATTTACAAGAAGAAAAAAAAAATAAAATCGATTTTGGATCATTTGTCAACTGTATGTCAACTCCATTGGCTCTACACTATTTCTTTGCGCTCTTGTTGATATGCTTAGGGTCACTTTCTTGTTGACATACACATACAAATGTTATGTTCCAACAGGCATAAGTTAACACTCCTCATATAATATATTGACACATGCCACTTGATCCATGACCCTTTCAATCAAGAGGATTTGATCAACTTCATTAGTTACCCCCTATCATGAACTTAGCGCCTCCATGTTTTTTTTGTTTCAAATTAGGTATTACAATCCATTAGGGGGACGTCGAACAAAGTTTCCCGACTTTTTTTTTACCAAATAATTAAATTTTACCAATATACCATACATGTTTTTTTGCAACTTGTATACGGTCTTTTCCACCTGTTTCTTTTTTAGTAGCACTACACTTCGCGGATCTTTGTTCTGTGTTCGCCACGAAGAGTTTCAGTATTAACTGTAATCTAGAAAAGTTATGTCAATGCTTATTAGAACTTTTTTATTTTGTGAACAAATGTACGTACATACATACATATGTATATGTAAATAATTTGAAATTTCGAAAGTGAAGTTTAAATTATTCATTCTTAAAAAGTATTATCTTTGCTCTTATTCCTTTTAATCGCCTACATTGGTTTAGTGCTTCGATTCCAATTTTCGAAAATCATTCCAACGGATTTACTATTTTACAGCTGTTGTCTTTTGACAGACAATGTCAAACTTCCGAGTGAATTGTTGCCATGATAAAATTGCACATAAAAACCCAACAACTGTTCGGAAGAATTCTTAACCATATTTAGGGAATAATAGAAAAACCCACACCATAAATGAGAGATAAGGGTCGGTTAACAAACCTCAGTCTTTTAACTGCAAAAACTGTGAGATATTATATAAGATGAATTTTCACTTTAGGATGTTTTAAGGTATACATATGTATGTATATCTCTTTGTGTCTTTACTACACTATATAGCAAACAATTTGGACCAACGATTTTCAAAAAGAGATTTTCTTATTCAGCATACAAAGACGCGCATTTGACATCAAAATAATTCCAGTCCGAGTAAAACTGTTTGTGAATTTTTAGTTTGGCGATTAGTGTTGGTACTCCTTTTCCATTTTGGCTTGTTTTTTTCGGCGGCAGCAGTGCAAGAATGAATACATAGCAGAGCTTCAAGTTATGCGGTTTTTAAGTTATTAAATACATTTGAAATTAAAATGGAAAAAACCTGCAGATCACTGAACAATACGTAATGTTTCCACTCTTGCAACATATACCGGGTATAAGAGTTTAAGTATAAATACCTAAATATTTCTAAAGATATCCATGTGGAGCTTTTCTGTGTGGCTATGAGAAGCTTTGCAATTAATGCAAGATATTGCAACGAACGAGCGTTAATATTCAATGAGAGATGTCGCTTGTGATTGCATTGAAGTCAGGTCTTGGCTGCAGGTCGAGTTAATATCAGTTAGGCGCGGTTTTTCGAGCGAAGCTTTTTACGTCACTGACATACGTACATATGTTGTTTACCTAGGTGCGCTCTTAATATTTTATATTTTCTGTGAATAAAAACTTGTGTTTTGCTGTGTTATTGCTTTTATAGCTAGGGGAAAGCTGCACTTGCAAAACAAAACAAAAATGAGTGTATTATATATAATTTAAATAAGCTTGAATTGGTATATTAATAAATCGCAATAATAATATAGATAAAATAGGCGTGTGTTTTTCTAATAGAGAGAAAGAGAGAGAAAGAGAGAGCAAAGTAATGGCCAATTATTGATATTGTGAATTGTCTTCCGACTTCTGAGCCTTGTTTTAAATTAATTTTGAAGAAGTGTAAAACTATGTATTGTTGCTTTACGTGCTTTATATATTTTAGCAAGCAATCTTTTATCGATTTTGCACTATTGCAAGAGAACGGGATTAATACGTTCGCTAGATGCTAGATCGAGCTTATGTGATGCAAATCCTGATGTTACTTGCATTTAAGTACAAGTTTTTTTAGCACATTCCTCAAACTGACGGAATGAGATGATTCTTTCAAGGTCTTTATATTACCCAAGTTCTATTGCTTTCTGATTTTTTATGACTTAATATTTTATTTAAAATTTCTGGGATGATTAAATTTCTTAAACAAATGTACACATTTTGGTTTTACGTAATATAAGCAAACATCGTTATTTATAACAAATGTAGTTCACAATTACAAATTTAACATACCTGTCCTCATTTACAAAGTTTTATATACAGTTGTAAGTTAATTATTTTTAGGAGTTTTACATGCAAGTGTTCAACTAACGAGTTAGTTTAAGCTTTTCAATATGTTCACACATATGTACCTAAAACAAGTGCACCAACACTGATCATATTTAATTTATTTCTGGCACTGTGCAGTATAAATTAAACTGAGGACTGTTAGTCTGAAATCTACAACTCCTAAAGCGGTTGAAAAGCTATATAAATTCTGCTGAAGTTAGTGAAAGAGCAACTAATCTTACTTAACAACGCTGTTGTTAAAGGCTACTGGATTATAGTTGCCGATATAAAATGATTCTGTTTTGCGAATGGGTACTGAATCCAGTATCCTTAAAAACACAGTTAACAATCCCGAGCCTAAGCGTCGAGAAGTTTCAAGTATTAACTGTGAACGGTTTTCGATATCTATCCGTAATGTATACTTTTGTATACGGTTACCGAGCGACAATTATACTTGCGATAATTTAGACTAGTGTGTAAATTGTCTAAAATTATTTGTATTACCATTAATGTGGGTATCTAAGATTGCATTGATTTGATCTCGTGATTGAAGTTGAAGATACCTGTATCAAAAACCTTTACCGCCTAAGCCTAAGGGTAGTGTATACATAGTTGATTTTCGGTATCGCACTGTATAAAACAGCTCACACTTCTATTGACAAAACTGTCATATATTGGTGTTGCAATTGGAATTTTTCGAAGAAAGTACAGCAATTCTTACACCTATGAGCTATAAGTTGCTTGAGATACTTTGGGTACCTTCCATATTCGCTTGTTAAGTATCATTATATAGATGCTATTACTAATATTAATATAATCATAATTATACAAGTTTATGGTATATATGACCCATATTGTCTATTTGAGTTTCCGTTTTGATAAGCTGTTTATCAATTTTCTTTAAAATTTATGAAGTGTTCTGATTTCAATGGCTATCAAACTCGACCTAAGAGATAGTACTCAATAATGATGCAATATAAAATTCAGACAGTTTGGAATATTTGACAAATTGTTTCGTTTATAACGTAGCGTGTCGCGAAATTCTCCATTGTTATTAATACCACTTATACAAAATTTGGTAGTGTCGCATTTAAGTTCTCAGATAACACGATATGTCATTGATTTTCAAGTTCGAATTGTTTTTTTCTTTTTGTGCCGGTGTTTGCGCCAAAACCACCATTGTGTGATATGTTTTCAAACCGACGTCAATAAAAAAAAATTTAAAATTTTTGACTCCCCCTAACATCTTTTTGAAGGCCAATATCAAATGAAAGTACTATTATTGAAACGTAGACGAGCTAAAGACAAGCCGAATTTATTATTTAACCCGATATGATGGGACATTTAAGGAAGACATAACATAACACTCATTCTCACTTGGATAATGCTGCATTCAAAAATGAATAAGTGAAATAATATCTCTAAAATGTGAAAGATCATACAAAGCCGATGATAATAAGTTAGCCACGGGTTCAAAAACCTTTCGAGAGGAAATATGATAAAATTATAAAAGATATTACATTTTCAACGAATTTGTAGGGCGCTTTCATTTGCTTTGCTCATAAAATATTCTCAACTTCGTACACGGAAAATATTTACATACATTTTTAGAAGCTTATTTCTGTAATTTATTTAAAATTTAATTAAGTTTTATAAAATTTTCAATTTTATTTTACAGAATTTCTCCAAATGGCGATCAGGAAGTGGATGTACCATTCGGCGTAGAGGAGGATGCATAGCCACTACTGTGTGGAGTTGACTCCGATTGCAGTGATGATAGCGATAACACTTTATTCATAAGCAAAAATGGAATGTACAATCACAGCTGTTCCAGCATCATCAGCTAGCATAGGCGACTTTGTTGTTATGATGATGTCCTTAATATTATTTTTGGAAAAGCTAATAACAGCACCCACACACAAGTACTAATGCTAACAATATTCATGCCCAAGTAGCAATCACACAAACAAAGAATGACAACCAAATCATGCAAAATTGGTGCATATTTTTCTACAACAACATACGCAGAATACGAATTAATTCAAAATGTTAATCACTACATTTATGTATGTGCCATATGTGTTAATATTTGTGTACAGCAATAAGTGCAACATGAGAGCACTCTTTTAATTCGTGAGCGACTTCCAGCAATATGTTCAAAATAGAAATAAATTGAAGGGAAGAAATTGTTTAATTAATTATTTTATTTTATTGAAAGCATTTCTTGCAAAAAGTCTGACGATTATAAATATCTGCAACAAAATATATTGATTTATAAAATTCAATTGATTATAAACATAAATGCAATATATACTATGTTCAAAGGTAATACATTCACTTAATATTTTCTTTTATCTGATTGTAAATGCAGAAACAAATGAAAATGTGTAATAAAAGGCGAATAAATTTGAAAGTGTACGTGTTAAGGCTGTGATGTTGAAACGTGAATCGGCAAAAGCGTAAAACCTTAATTATGAAATTCTAAGCAGAAAAGTTACTTAAATATTTTTTATAAGACATTTTAATTGTTGATTTTTAATCAAAAATATTTGCAATATTTTATATGTATTTATGTGTTTACACAATTGTTTATAATGTACAAACCTAAATATACTTAAAATTTTTACTTATTTTTCAAAATTCATTTATATTTACAACTTCCAAATTTATTTAATAAAAATTAAATTATGTAAAGCAGTAACTACATTGCAATGAAAATTCCAAATCAAATTAGTTAGGAAGTATGTACCATACGTCGCCGAAAATGCAAAATAATATGATCAAAAAATTCGAAATTGAGTATTTTATTGATTACGAATCTTATACTTTCAATTTACATACAAATAAGTATACATCTATGTCCAATATTTTAAGGTTCTGCTATCAGATATAACCCAGTTTTGACCAATATATAAATTTTGTTTCTACTCATGATCCATTTTATAACGTGTTTCAATCTTTCTCCTGTAAATTTCCGGAAATGTTACGTTATTTTGCATTTTAGGTGATGATATGTAAGTATGTACGCTTACACTTGTCGAATTATTTTCAAATTATTTCTTTTTGCTGATGTTATTACTTTGTATGCAAATACATGAGTGCTTTATACCTATAAATATTATTATGTATATGTAGTTAATAAATGTATTATAGTTAGTTAACCAATACAAATTTTTATGTTTTACTAAAAGACGTAATTTCTAATACATACCATATATAAAAATATTAAATACAACTATCTTTTATTTAGCATCGTTCATAATTATTTTAATTCAGAATTGCAAAGGGGTGAAAATCAATCACCGAATTTTCTTTTGCAGGAATTATTAACATTCTCTACCGTGACGCTTATATTCTGTTTTGCATTTATTTATCACTTCAATTGTTTTATACATACTCTTAAAAAATAGTTTCTCTAAATTTAATTAAAACTTTCATGAAAATAATATTCTTATTCTAACTTTGTAGTGCAGTTATATGCCTTAGTAGTCCGATAGTACCAATTTGGCGGAGTTTTAGCGAAATCATAAATTTTTGAATGCCGTAAAATTTCCTTGTTTTGTCTATCGTCAGGGACATTTATATTATATGTAAAAAAAAGTGTTAATCTATTCGTAGCGAAATCGTGGACTATCGGTATTAGATGACGCCAAAAAATGCAAATGTCATCTTCACATGTACAGACAATACACAAAAATACTTAGTATTTACAGAAATGTATTTTACTTTTAATTAAGTAGGTTGTTGCGACTATTAGAATATAACAAAACAAACTGAAAAACATAAAAGAAATAAGTTTTATAACGTTATTGCTGAGACTAATCATTTACATGCCTCCATCGCTTCCTAAAATGTTAATACAGATATTATCGAAATAGTTTTGTTACCAATAAGAAGGATATCTTGTTTAAAGCAAGAACCAAAGATTTATGCAACTGTAGGCTTAACCACAGTCGAAAAACCTTTGGACTGCTCGCCAGGGGATACCTAATGCGCGCTCTATTGCTTTCGTCACATCATGTCATAACCTCAAAATCTAAAAGTACCTCGTAGTACTCTAAATAACACATTATACTATAAAAAATGATGAAGTCAAGCAGCTTTTTTTACTTGCGATTGAGTTATCGGACAGGCGTATTTCCAAAAGCTCTGACTCGGGTAAGTTTTCCAAGTTATTTTTTAAAAAACGCACAAAATTCGAAAAAGGTTGTTTTTATAGAATACTTATGAAAAAAAACAAAAAAAAAAAATGCAGAACTACTCTTAACATTTGTTCTTCTTCTTTAACATTATGTTACTTTCTTATATTTTTTATATATTTTGTATGTAAAAAAATATGAAGTAAAAGCAGGACATTTATTTGATTGTTTAGCTTGTATGGAAGCTATATGCTATAATGGTCTGATAACGGCGATTTCGACAAATGAGCGGGACTGGTTGACATGTATTTAGCAGACAGACGGATATAGCTAAATCGACACAGCTCGTCATGATGATCATTTATATGTGTGTATATATTATATAGAGTCTTTGACGTTTCTCCTAGAAGTTACAAACTTCGTAGAAAACCTGAATGTACAAATATGTTGAACTACGTACGTAGTCCAAAAGCTCTTTGAATTGATACTTATATTGTAGTTCTAATTTATTTTATAAATTTCTACTAAAACCCTTTAAACAGGTGGTAGCCACTGGTTTTTAGTCTTCCGAGCAAAATGGTCTTCGATCTGTAGATGCGTTGGTTGACATATCATTATTGCGGTAGTTAATCGAGACACTTCACACAATCCAGTTCATCACACGACAATTCCACTGCCGAGTAGCAAATTTAAATTTCAAAAGCTGGCAATTTTTTGGGATGAACAATTATTGTACCCGTAAATAGTCAAAGTTCAAAAGCGTTTAAAATCTGTAAAAAATCCAAGCTTTTGCTCCTAATATACTTAATCAGATTTTTTAATTGTCTAAAACGCACAGTTACTTTTATTTATACAGTTTAAAGATCTTCGTATGACCTCTAAATTAAACAATAAAAATTTTGAATTGAGCAAAAAACCATTAAAAGCATAGAATTTTATGGCACCTAGATTATTTCGTTAAAGATATTTATTCGCGTAAGTTGTGTGGTTAGGAGGTAAAATTTTCGTACAATAATAAAATTGCGAATTAAATGATGAGCAGCTATAAATTCCTAACTCTACTATATCTTATCGGAATTTGCCATATAAAAACGAATGCCGATATACGTAAGTATTTGCTGGTGTTAAAGTGAGTGTAGAATCAATCTAGGTTAAAAATTACCGGAGCTAATTATTGTTATAGACAAATAAGGCATTAGAGAGTTATATATACATATACACATTTTGAGTGACTGTCTGTCCGTCTTTTCATCCGGGCATGCGATACCTTAGTTAACGTTTAGATATCGTGATGAGACTTGGTACACAAGTTCCATGGCACCCAAAGGTTGCTGTTATTATAGATGGACGTAATCGGAGACTTGCCACGCAACCCGCATTAATCGAAAGCCTATAAAGTACCATAACTAAGCTTCATAAAAAGATACAAGACTGCCATTAAAGTAGTGAAGCGATTTTCATTTGGGAGGGGCATCTATGGTGGAAAAATTGTGTTGTTTGGTAGCAAAATTTGTGAAAACTTTTTGCTTATAAATGCAGTGTTGGCAAAATTGATGCCTCTATTTTGCTCTGTAGATATGTGGTCGTAAATATCGCTACTTTACCTTAAAGTGTTATGAAATAATAATTGTATGAAGATGTTTTGAAGGCGTTACAATGGAGAGAAAGATGATTTAGAATATACAAATGATAAGGCAAATGTGGGTGTGGGCCTATGCTTTTTATATCGACTAAATCGAAGTATTTTATGTTAATAAAAGAGTAGCTTTCCGTGCAAAATTGCTAGCATACATTCTATACAAAAATTAATTAAATTCTTTCGTTATAAACTAATTACCAATACTTTCCGCCATTAAATAATATGTAAAAGTCTTACTATACCCACAAAACAGCGCCAGAAATCGAAAAATGTCGTGCAGGCGATGTGCACTGCATCGCAAAAATTGTGCCCTATCTTTTGCAAAATTATACCAATGGTATTCCTGAAATTGGTCTAACTGACATAGAGAAATTGTCACTGAATAATGTTATTATTACAAAAGCAAAAGAGCAATCCCCAGTTATGTTAAATTTGGCATTCAAAAAAATGTATTTGCACGGTATACGAAATGTAACGGTACAACGTGTGGTGGGCTTTGAAAAGGACCTACTCAATTCAAAATTCGAAACTTACGTTACAATACCGAATTTAGTAGTGGATGGAGAGTATGTCTCCAGTGGAAAGGTGCTGTTGTTGCCAATAGATGCAACAGGTTTTGCGAAAATAGAGTTGAAGAATACTATGCTTAGCTTGAAATTTAAGTTCGATGAAGAATGTAAGGATGGCAAGCAGTTTGCGAAGATAAAAGCGTTAAAATGCAAATTGACGCCGGAATTGTAAGTTCAAATCCACTATGAAATTAAGAGTATTATTTGAATTATCTACTTTTTCAGAATAGTCATGCGATTTGACAATCTTTTCAATGGCAATAAACAGCTGAGTGAGTCGTTGAATCAGATGATTAATGACAACTGGAAAATACTTTGGGCCGACATGGAATCTCAAGTAAATGAAGCGGTTGCAGGAATAGTAAAACGGCTGTTGGCGAATGTAATAAGTGTATTGCCCTATGACGATTTTTATCGTGAAGACTGACTGTTCGGAGTCCATAGAGATTGAAGAACTTACATAAACATTATATATTGCCACTTAACAATTCTAAATTAATATAATATATAATTGTTATTTATTCGTGAGTAGAAATAATGTGATCTGCCCATAAAATTAAATATAGTTCAGAATATTGTATAACTTATTTTGTGAGGGTACCGTTTGAAAAACTCCCAACAATAAGCAAACCCGTTAAAAGTCGTCTGAGTATAATATACGCCTCTTTGGACAAATATTTTACAATTCTTAAAATATTCTGGATTTGTAAATTTATTTAGTTAAATCTTATTCCACCGAATCCCAGGAGTATCAAATCATCCTTGAACATTTGGAAAGCGGTAAATGTTACATATTTTTCGTGAGATATATTTAATAGCTAGAGTTGTGCAGATCATGCAGGCAAAAAGCTATCACCCCCAGTTGCCAATGACAACTTTCCAAGTACGAAAAGGTATATACCAGTAAAAATCATCAGCCATCAGCACTCGAATTAACTATGTATATCTTGGTTTAAAGAGGTTTGTCATGATCATATTTTTCTTTTAAATAGTTCGCTTGTTTAAGTATCCGTTCTCGCTTGATATCGAATAGCTCTGTACACGTCTCCTAGGTGACTTAAACACTTGCCACCTTTGGATTGATCGCAGGGCACAATTTGGGTAGAACTAGTTCCGTAAAATTCACTGCATTTAATTAAAAAAAAAAAAAAAAAAAAAAAAGGGTTCAAGTAGGCATTGCTCAATTATCGATTTAATGTACTGCTTCAATTCAGTCAGATTTACGGGAATTGTTTTTGTACACCTTCTGCTTGACATAATCTTAAAATAAAAGTAGGCTGATCAGGACCTTTAGGGCAGAGGTAAGTGGAGTTTCTTGATATTAATTTGTTTTTTAAAATTTTCTTTGGAGCTCCGCAATAACCGATCTGGTTATGTGTACACTTGCTCCGTCTTAGTGGAATCAAACGCTATCGAAAGGATATGTCTTCGGCAAATTTCTGGGTAAAAAGACTCATCCAACATCTTTAAATAATTGGCAGTTACTGTTACACCGTTTCTTCAAAGAAGTATGGCCCTACAATACACCTTGATGAAACTGCACAGCATGCACAGTGACTCGTTCTGGGTGAAGTTCCGTCTCGTGGA